TAAATAAATGATCAAAAAAATATGTGAAAAGTTTTTATTTAACACTAAAAATGTATTATATAAGCACAACTTGCTTATGTCATATAGAACAATAATACACAAAGGCAGCCCATAAACTATTATTACATTATTTAAATATTTCTCATGAAACATGTACGTTCAATTAAATAGACAAAAATAATTACTAATTTTTAATATTCTTTGTAAGAAATTACATCTCTTTTGTTCGAAAAATAATGGTTCATTAGCCCTTTTATTGTTATAACCAATGTGTTAGTATAGCTTCATAATGAAAAAACAAACTATATCCGGTTATTATTACCATCTAGAAATTAAAAAATATAGATGTGTGAGGTAAAAATATTTTAATAAGATAATTCATTTACAGAGTTAGGAATTATTTTTATTCATGTTTGCACAGAATACATGTGTTTTTTATTACGTTTATAAAGAACAAAATAGAAATGAAATAATAGATCAACTTATTTTTACACACTCATGTTGTGACGACAACATTCCATATCACATAAGTATATATTATGCCCATAATTTGTTTCTAAATAAATTTGTGAAATGTATGCTCGGTTATATATTTATAAAGCTAGGAGAATTATAAAGATCCACGATTGTTATGTTTTATTCTTTAACAATCATAATAATTGTGAACGTTATATTTCAACGAAACATTAATAAAACGTGTGAAAGAATTTATTAATTTTTTTTTTAAATAAAATATATTTAAATTTTCATGTTTATTAGAAAAAGAAATAATTTAAATATATAAAAAAATTAAACTTCAATATACGTTAATATAAATACGGAAACAAAATCCCTTTTATAATTGCACTACATATGAAATCATGTATCATTATAGATTGAAATTTATACAATTTCTAAAAAATTAAAGTGCTCAATAATCTTATATTCATAACCTAATAAAATGTAATTTTTGTTTTATAAATGACATGTTACGTTTATGTTATATTTATATAAAAAATTATTTGTCTATAAATCTTAATTTATTACATGCTAAATATTGAGTTCTGTGATGAAGTATTTTTTTCTGCTTCGTAAAAATTAAAGTATTTCGAAATTATACACTTTAACATAAAATATAAGATATCTAATAGCATACACAATTTATAACACCTTTTTACACGCTATATATTGTCTATACTCAGAGTTAAATTAAATTATTGCAAAATATGTTTGTTAGTTATACCACTTTTGTTTGATTCGCATTACCAATTTTTAAATTGTGTATTTATAAGGATGTAAAATTATTAACTGATATGATTAACTAGCGAAAAAAGAGTAATAGAAAAATGAAATTAATTAAACTTTTTTATTGTGCCATCAAGATATTATTTATCTATTACACCTGATTTAATTAAAATATGATATTTCGTAGTTAATGTCTTATGAGACATCGAACAATGATATGAACACTTCATAATTAGAAAGTGAAAATAAGAATTACTTTATTTATTAATCATTATTATTAGAATTATATTATGTTGTTTTAAATGGATATGAAGCATAAATCCCATTTCACCAATTCATTCATAAATAATTTAAAATATTTACTTGTTTAAGTTGTGCTAGCAACACAGAACAGCTTGACACTCAATAAGTAGGATTTTACGTATACCTAAATTTTTACATATTATAATTAATTTATTTTGACTAATTAAAATAGGATTTTATCCTTAAATAATATTATTGCCCTATTTACACTTTTGATATCTAAAAAAACAAAATTTTCAGAAGTTTTTATGACTTTATGATCAGTGAATGACATTCTTTTTAAAAATAATTCATATTTATATAACAATACTTGCATTTTCTGCTTATTTAATGGAACGAAATATTTCTATATTTACCTATAATAAATATAATGAATTTGATAATCTGCATATTAACAAACACTCATAATTAATACTGTAACAGGGTAGAATATATTATCTTATAGGATATAATTTTTTGTAAAAACAGTGAAAATAATTCTAAACAATTATTTATTGAACAGGAAAATGAAGGAATATAATGTATGTTGTTATTTTTCGCTGTTTCTATTGTCACATAGTGAAAAAACATTAAAATATATGTGATTTATATAATAGGGTTATTAGGGATAAAATATGTATCCTTGTAGAATAATTAATTAAAAAATAGTCTAAATTGGGACAATATATATGTTATAATTTAAGTAACCCATAAAATTTTGAAATAATATAAATATGTACGTGATCATTTTTAATATTACAAATATATGAAAAGCAATAATTATGATAAAAATTACAGGAAAACGCATTTAAATGACTTATATTAAACCGATTTATATGAATTATTATTAAGAATATAGAACTTGTAACAATATATATAGTGAATTACATTTCTAAATCTATTTTATTAATGGTGAAACATGTGAATGAAATGTTATTTCGACCGTTTTAATGACGTAAGAGGAGTTATATATTGATGAAGTTAAAGGAGTTAAGGATGTAGAAGAAGCAAAACATGATTTAGGTTTTAATCTTCCTTTAAAATTTAGCAGTAACGTGAGTCTAATGAAGTTTCTCAATGTACATCCCTGATCAGAATTATGTATCAAGTGAAATAATTTATCCTTCTTCCAACACTAAAGAAAAAAATCACAATATATATAATTCATATCATTACAATCGTTTATCTTAGATCATTTAAAATTTGAAGCAATAATGTTGTCCAACATTTATTATAGTGTATATGCAAATTGTGATTAAATATATAACTATATTATATTAAAATTTATAGTTATCACATGTATATAATTATTAAATAAGAACGTTCCTCTCTATTTATATATAATTATTCTAGTATATCTCGATGAACTCTATATAAAACAGGAATAAAGAAGAAAAAGTTAAATACAAATAAAAAAGAAATAATTGAAGGGTAAATCTAATAATATGAATTATAAAGCAAATTTATATATTATCATATAGGATCATTGTGCTTAGCATATCATAATTCATCAAACTATTTTCCTTAAATAAACCAATAATATAAAATTATTTAGAGGAATTATAAGTATGTAAATATTAGAATATCTGAATGGATAATCCTCAAAATAAGTGAAAAAATAGAGATAAATAAAATAATGGGACTTATGTATTACAAAAATCTAGATGTAAATATTATACATATTACATGTACATATGTATATAAGTGTATAATACATATATACAATATATAAAAGTTCTATATAAGATATACATTTAATATTGAATTTTTTTTTTTTCAAGATACATAAATACTAAAAATAGTGAAAAAATATAATATATAATAAAGATTATTTAATAACCTCAGGTCATTAATATTATATACGAAAACTTAAATGATATGGAAAAAAATATATAGATGAAGTCATACTCTATATAAATTCAAGTAACGCCAGTCAAACTCAGTAATTATGTGGTCCAATATCATAACTATATGCTACTTATGTTAACATAATATAATAAAAATATAAATATCATATTAATTTAATATGTTTTGAAATTATTAATCGACGAATTTTGTCATTCACATAAGTGTAAATTATATGATTACTGAATAATGCTTAGAACAAAATTATTCAACAAAAAAATAAACACACTATTCATAATTTAGATGAATGTAATTAATAAATCCCTCAATATGGTAATAATTATGGTAAAATTTCTCTTATTATAAGTTTATAAAATTTATGCTATATATTATGAAATCAAGGATTTCTGCACATATAAATATAATTTTTTATGATTATGCAAAACATATATATTAGATATAAAATGCATTAATTCAAATAATATATTGTCATTTGTCAACGGAGATAAAATCTTAGTACATATGATAATTCCATTTTCTCTTATATTAATAAATTTTTTATATTATACGTAAAAAGTAGTTTAATTTTATAATTAGTATTATTTAAATTTTTTTAAAGTTTTATTAATGTAACAATAAAGTATATATTTATATATATATACTGTTTTTTTTTACATTTTGTATATTTCTGTTTAATAATTCTTTATTCATTTTACTTCACGAGAAGAACTATGATGAAAAAAAAAAAGAAAATGTGGAACGAAATCATATATGAATATAACATTAAATTATAATATTCAAGGATTATGCAAAAATATAGAAAGTTATCCTAAAAATATTCTAAATATCATTACATATTATATGCATCAAACATATTAAATGAATTGATAATTACTATAAAATAAAGTACAAAATAAAAAATGCTAATATCATATTTACGATTGTAAAATATGAATATACATATACATTAGAACGAAAATAAAAATAACATACTATATAATATTACTTATGAATTTTTTTATTTTTTTGTAAGACCTTAATATGCAATGACATATTTTACCATGTTTATTAGAATTTCAAATGAAAATGATGGCTTAATATATAGGAATATTAATGTATCATTGATATATAATAATTTTTATTAATAATATTAATTACAAAATAAGATTATGAGCATATATATTTATACACAAATACATTGTTATCACAATGGTGTCTTATAAACTTCTTAATAACACATAATCTAATAAGTATTTCACATTCTATGTAGCCATTATCACTTATGGAAAAATTATTTTATGACGTATTATAACAATTAATTTTATTAACAAGAGTTATATTTATATTATGTTAATATTTACAGATAAGAGAAAATTTTATTAAGTTATTTTAATACAAGTATATAATTTAGAGCTTGTATTTTACCAAAATAATTATACACATATATTACATAAAAACGGAAATACATCTGTTTAAAATATATATTTTTTAGGTACTTTCTTTTAATAATTTCTCATATGTACAATATTTTGGTGGGAAAATATAATTAACAAATACTTTTTAATAACTGCAAAAATATTATTTTCCAATCTGATGAAATTACAATATTCAAAAGGAAGTTTTCTCTTAATAATATGTTAATGAATAAATTAGTTACAATGATATAAAATATCATATTTATTGTAGTTTGAAGCGCATTGAGATATACTAGGTGGTTGCAGATTATTTGTTTCTGAATCCATAATATTACAATCGTTCCTTTTTCTTATTAGTAAGGACTGAAAATATGAACCAATCGGAGTCTAATAATTCATAATAATAAAATAATACATACATTTAAAATATAATTTCATATGAGATAGCATTATATTATTTTTTAATTATATATATCATTTTTTTTATAGTGTTTATATACATAAATAAAGTAATTATTCACTTTATATAATACAAGAAATACAATTGATATTAACAATGCTACAATTGTAATAATTATTGTAGGAACTCTTGTATTATTTTTGCATTTGTCAAATAATGTTGGATTTTGTGATTTTTCAGTGTCATTTTGAACTTCTGATTCATACTTATTTATAAAGTCTTTCAGTGCGTTACATAATGGGTCTATAGAATAAGATTCATCTTTATGTTTCATTCCGTTAAGGCACTCATACATACTATACATCTTATTGATCCACTTTATATGAGTACTTGTAATGGTGTAATGTTTAAATTCAAGGCAATTAGAGTCTGTATATATACTTTTATGATCCTTTAACAATGCTTCATAAATCTTCTGTGTTTCCCTGCTTTTATCATCCGCCTTTATATTATTATATAACCAATAATTCAAGTATAAAAAACCAGATTCTTTAGTCACATTATAAAAATTACTTTTAATATCTATGTCTAATACATATAACATAGCTTTTTGACATTTTATTGCATCAAGTATATTATTCCTAATATTATATTTAGAAAAGAATCTATTAACAGGACCCATATCACCAACTTTTTCGAATAATATATCTTTCATAATTTTATTACATTGAGGAAAATTATATACATTTTTATACTAAGAAAGAAGAAAAAAATTATATTATGACACAAATTACATGATATTATATATATATTTGTAAATAGTATAACATTCAAATAAAATCAGGTTATTATTAATATATTAGTAAATGAAACAGACAAATAAATTATCCATCATAAAAAATATTATGTTATTTTGCAAAGGTACTGCATAAAATAATAAAATATTATAATATAAAAATATCGATTTTATATCAAAGAAAATCAGTAGAAAAATTTATAATACTCAACCTATCTATAATTGTACAATTGATCTAAAATTAACAATGACAGTATTTTTAATTACATACATGAGATTAAAATATATTTTTATTCATTTTTGTATGTTTCAATATATTATTTTATGTAAAAAAAGATAAGGTACACTATATTATTATTACATAACATTACTAATACATTGAATAAAAAAGCATAATACATAATATTATTATTAAATTAAATATCTATGCATGCTATTTTTTTTATTATAGATTATATAATAATATATATAATATAAAAAATTTATAATAATAAAAAAATTAGGATAAGGATTTAGTTATTTAGTTATACATTTGTTAAAGTTTACGGTAATCCTGTAATATATTTTATTATAATTTATACCTAACTAACACTTTCTTTATACTCTTATTGCTTAACATCATATAATATTACAAATAAATTTAATATACAATGCAAACTAGTGTATATATAAAAAAGAAAGGTCCAATATATAACAAAAGGTAAATTTTGAATAATAGAAATAATACAATTTTTACTCATATATAAATGAAGTTTATAAGGTACATATTGCCTTTATATTTGTTATATTTTATTTCCATTAATCAAATATTTCATCATTTATATTATCAAATAATAAAAAAATATGATGAAATAGATACATAGAAATCAGAATAAATTTGTTTTATATTTCAATTATTTTACCTGATTTTCACATTTATTACAATAAGAAGTAAATAATATTGTATTATTTGTTCATTTTATGCATAATTACCATATTATACTAAAATCTATATTATCTCAAGATGAAAAAATAAATTATTCGAATATTTAATAAATTAATAATATTTTTATAGAGTTCACACCGTAAATAAAAAATAGCAACATAGTAGAAATTTATATATCGTCTAAATATTCTAATAAATATGACTATGAAAATTTGTATAGGATTATGAACTTTAACATTTCATTTATGAGTGTACTAAGCATATATTTATGAGACAATTTTCCGCATGACCAAAGGAAAAAATATATGTGAAATTTTCTTCTATCTTTTTTTAAGTTATTCTTTCATAAAATATTTTTTATATTAATTAATTATAGAATAACATAAAATATTTTACATTGTAGTTACTCTTATACTATGCAAATTTAATAAATGTGGCTAATTTAGTTTTAGTCAAAAATTTTTTTTTTTTCATATTTTAATTAATTATTTATAAATTTAATATAAACTTACTTCTTAAAGAAATTAAATATTATTCCTCTTTTTCTCTATTAAAACAATAACATTTAATATGTAAAATTTTCTATTCTTAAATAGACATAGCAGTACAATAATTTTATCAATATAGTCTTAGCGAGTTAGTTATTAATTTAATATAGCACAAAATTAACATATGATAAAAATTACCTCGAATTTTTTTTAAAATATACATAACATATAAACTATAGTTATCATAATTCAAAGTGTAATTTGTTTAGAAAAAAAAAATATAAATTATTATATTTTTTCAGTTGTAATAATTTGAAAGGTATGTTAAATAAAAAAAATGTAGTTATAATTATATTTATATATTGCTTATATAATGATATGAAAATGATTAATATATCAGAGGAATATATATTCTTTTTGTTATAATAATATTGGTTACTATTCATAAATGAATTATTTATAAAACTGAATTGTTCTAATATTAATATATTTCTAATATGCTTTTATATAAAATAAATTGGACTCATATTGTATATAATTATACAATATATATATGGATTTTTAATTATACCGAAGCTATTTTCCCAAAGAGATATAATTTTTTTTTTATGATATTTCATTTTTACTTCTTATTATTAAATAGTAAATATATATATTCAATATGATGAAAATATGGAATATTATATTTTTTCTTGTGAAAAAATATTTTAAATAATGTACCATACACTTTTGAAAAATTTGACAACATTTAAGGTACACACATTTATATGTGAAGAAATGTCACGATATATTTAAAATATATATATTTTAAAAAATATTCAATACATAATGAGCACGTTTGTAAATATTTGTATTATTGGTGAATCATTATTTTAAGAAGAGAAATCATGGTAGATGTACGTGAGCAATTTATAGAGTGTTGCTCAAAATATATATGTGTTAACTTTGAAATATGTGCTACAACTAGAGACTGTGTTGCAGAAAATGTATTAAATATTTTTAAAGATAAACATAACGTAAGTATTAACTTAATGTTATAAAAATCACGGTTTTTAAATCTACTAATTGAGAAAGATTCTCATGTAACAAGAATGTGATAATATGAACTATCTCAAAATGAGGTAATTTGAAAAGAATTACGATTGAGACTTTTTTAAGACAATAAAATATTATAGAAATGAAAATGTGGAGCTAAAGATGTTATACAATTGAAGAATTGACATACAAGGAATACTATACCCTTTACAAAATATATGAAGAACAGCAGCTCCTAAGGAAATTCAAGCATTTTCAACACCAGTACTATCTAGTTTTATCTAAATTTTGCAAATGGATTATTATGATATTATTAATATTTATCATAGTAAAAACAGATATTTCTTAAATATTTGAAAAAAGAAAAAAAAAAATTTATATAAAGATAGCTTTTTTAATGCAATTTTTTTTGTATTATTTAATTGATTACTGATTATGTTTTATACTTATAACCTGAAGGAATAAGGCATATGCATTTGTCGAAAAATATTGAAGAAATTTTATATGTAATGGTATAATCTAGAAAATGCAATTCCCATACATGCCATAGAATACACAATATATTATATTTTTTTCCAGTTCTTATTATGTTTAAATATTTATTATTAATGAATTGTATGTTTTAAGAAGAAAGAAAAAACTGCTACCATATCATGTGAAAAGGTTTTCTTTTGCAATGGATATTATAAGTGAAACAACTCTTACAAAATAAGAACATGAAAATATATTTCACTACTTTATATTAATAAGATAATAATACAAAATAAATATCCTAATTATATACATATATTATTAGATTTAATTAAGAACTGTTCTTAAAATCATCATTAACAAATTTCATACACAAATTTATTAATATAACTCTGAATAAGAGGGTAAGATCCTAATAAAATATAAAAGAGTATATTATAAAATATGAATATATCACATAATAAAGTATAACATCATCAAGGATAACAGAAATTTCGAAAATAATTGAATATATAATATATAATTCTCAAAAACAAATATAATTATTTCATCTTAATAGAAGTATTCAAAATCATATATAAGATATTAAAAAGGTTATGTTAATTATGAAAAATTTTTAAATATATAATTTTCATTATTTTTATTACATACTTCAATACTAGAAATATAAATATATTCTCAGGATTTATGCTATTATTATATAAAATTTAATAAAATATACATTTTTATAGTATACATATAGATTATAAAAATATAATAAGCTTTTTAAAACTTATATTCTTATATTTCATCTCACATACTTTTTTGATTCAAATTTTTACCTTATGAAATTTTAATTACATTTGAGCAAACTTATAATTCATATAATACAAGCTTATATTGATATATACATATATATTGAATATAAAAATATAACATATTCAAATATTATGGGTTATAATATTACGTACAGTTATCTTATTTATATATGTTTTAAATCCCATATAGTATAATGGAATATTATGGTATATATAATCTTTTTAAAAACACTTTTATAATTATAGATGCTTATGAAAATAAGAAAAAAAATATATAGAATTATGTTAATCATAATTACTGATTGTTCTAATATATATACAAAAAGAGATACGAACACTTTTTCTACTTCTATAAATGTGGGTTAAAAAGGAATAGTTTATATTTTATTTTTTTTTAATAAAAAAACAATAAGAAATAGATACTTATAGTATGAATTGAAGACAATTTTGTTCAAAGAATATTATATTATTTACGGGAAAAATTATATATAAATTAATTTTGAGTAATAATGAAACAAAATTTTTGTATGAATCCATATTTTCCAACATTTTCACGAAATATAATTTAGATCATATAATACATTTAGAATTTATAAGAAAAATTATTCATCCATTATATTATCATTTACATAGAAATAATTAACGACAAATATTAATTAAAAAGAATTCAAGATTATATATATTTATATTTTCTGATTAAACAAATAAAAATATTTCTACGTATATAATGAAAACGTAATAAATATTTCTATTAGTATTATAGAACATTTGAATATAAGCATAAATAATGAATAATATGTTTAATAAGGAAAATAGAATAAATTGTTATTCTAATGAAATTTTAAATGAATTACAGATTGAATACATCAGGATTACATATTTGTAGTCTAATTTTAATGCACGTGTTCATAATTATTTTTAATTAATATTTATTTATTCTTGTGTTCATGATGAATAAATATGTATTTTTAGACGAAATAATTTCTTATATGAGGTTATGCCTATTAAAATTTCTATAATTATAATGAATTACATATCATAAATTTAGTGATAGGACATAGATATGCATAAAATGTATACTTTATCGCGAAAATATAAATCAGTAATCAATATTTAACTATTATGAGTAGTTGTAGATATATTAAAAGTTTCATTTCATGATTTTTATTTTGATAAATAGTGTTAATATTATTTTTTGTAAATACTGATATAAATAATGATATATCAAATATTATTGTATTTGTATAATATGAATTAAACATATTATTTACACTTTGAGCAGAATTCCCTGTTTTATGCCTTATTCACAAAATTTTCACAACTTTTACTAAAATATACGTATATTTTAATATCGAGTATAATTATTAACACTATTTTAAGGAACATATGGATATATTTAGAACATTACATATATAATAAATTTTTTTTTTAAACACTACAAAAGTTCTATGCATGTTGCATTAATATATTTTTATAATTTAATGTTATTTTATTTTTAAAAGTTTTAGATTAAACAATTTACAAAAAAAACAATAGTATTTAAAGAAAATACATTCCTTAAAATACATATTAAAATATTAAATAAATAAAAATAATCTGTGTATTTTCTGAATACCTGTTCTATTTTAAGTGACATAAGTTTTCTTTATATGAATACATAATAAATGTTGAATTAAAATAATGATTTCAATGCAGATATGAAAGAGTTGCTTGGTAATAATATATAATATATAATTAAATACCTGAAATAATTTTTACACCATTGTTGATCCATTGTTCCCCATAATTCTCATTTACATATGTGGACTTTCTAAACAAAAAAAATGAATAATCCAATTGCAAAAAAGAAATATACATGTTTCTGTTTAAGAAACATTCATTATATATCCATTATAGTTTCGATATATTTATGTATTCAAAAATATATTGTAATTTTTCTTATTTATATAGCACAAAATCATCAAAATTATATGAAAATATAATATATCATCAAATAATATAACACAGTTTTATTAAAAATTAGATTGTTAGACGTAACCTTAACATGTACGATTATAATGCCGTAAAAAATAAAGAAATCATTAAGTAAAATAATATTTATATAATATCCAAAATATAAGAAAAATAACAAGTATTTTCATTATATCATAATATGAAATAAACGTATACGCTTACTGAAATTCAAAGCATATCACAAATAATGGACTGATTTTCATCTTAATACATGGCCTCATATATTTAGTAATAGCTTTTTTCCATAAATGTAAGTTAATGTATATTTTTAAGTGTTGATTTCTACATATTTAAATTACACATATGAGCGTAAATCAAATATTTTTTATTTTTAGAATTATATTCATCAACCTGCTCTTTAATAAATCATATTCGTGGAAAAATAAATATTATAGAAACACACAAATATTTTTATACTTTGTATAATTTAAACAATTCAGTATATTAAATGTATCAAGACTATATAAATTTGTAATGTATAAACTTATTATTTTTATATTTACATAAATCATAATTGTGATTTTATTTTATTCATACAATTATAAATTTACATGAATTATATTATGGTTAATTTATTATTTATGCTTAGTGTTTATTCATGTAAATTAATTTTCATTTTTATAATTACTAAATAATGAACTGTAAACAATGTTGTATTGACTATTATCCAAACTTGACAACAGTGAATCTTCTATGTTCTTTTTTGCATTACTTTGAAAATATTCCATTTTTTTAATTCTAACCTGTATCCATGTGCCTAATGGACTGAACTATGAAGTAATATATGTAATATAATTATTGAAAAACATTTATTTTATATTAATTAATTGATATAGGTTTGGATTATTAAATATATATTACATTATCAATATATTTACGAATTAATTTCTTTTACTTTGTATAGCATTACACTTTTAACAATAATTCCCAAAATAATAAGTCCTACAATAAGAAATAATTTAACTGGAGCAATGTTAGGTGATATGCATGCCTATATTTATATTATAAATATACTTGTGTATATCATTTTTCACTTTACCATGTGATTGACTAGATGTGGGTAAAAGTAGTTCCTCGGGAACATCTGATATTACTCCACTAGGTTTATTTAAAATATCTATTTCTTGACCTTTAGAACCTGATGAATTTATAGAATAAAAAATCAAACATATTTCTACTTCATAGATAATTCTAGTTATGTAATAATTAGAATTTCTTTTTTTTTTTACTTTGAATATGTGTTTCTATTTCCTGAAGTATTTTTTGCCATAGTTCCTCATTTTTTAAAACTTCGAGATTCTGTACTATGTCATGATCATAACTATTATCTTTCAACTTTGCTAATACAAGATTTATATGAGTAGAATATTTGGTTTCTTCTCTATAGCAATCACAATTATCACAATAATACCTTTTTTGCCAGTTACTATAAAGTTCAGAACTTATTGTTTCATCTCTAATAGTATTTGATATATTTGATGCATAAATAGCGGAAGTTATCAAATTTAGATAATAGTTCATAGCATTGCAACGTTGTTCTTTGAAAATCCAATCATTATATTTATTTTTTAATATATTATAACTAGAAATAACACTGCTATTAAATCCATTAACCCAGTATTCAGTTGCAGAGATATCAATTGAAGGGGTTTTAATTTTATTTACTAAGTCCCTTATATTAACATGCTTAAGCAATTCCTTTGTAAACTCCTTTGGAGGTATATCAATGCTGTTATTATCCTGATTATTACGACCAACGAATATATTAAATATATATGAAACGAACCCATAAGTGTATGATGAACGTAAATATGAAAATCTACTATATATTCATATTTAGATCATACCTTGTTTTCCATTGTTTATAAAAACCATAATTTATGTATAATTTATAGTAAATATAACATTTTATATGTGAAACATAAAATATATTGTATGTATATAACATATAAATTTATTATATAACAAAATATACTTTATTCTATATACATTATGAATAGAAATTATATATTAACTGTAAAACATTATTCTAACTTTTATTACATAATATATTTACTGTAATTTCCTATATGTATAATTACAAAATAAATAGATTCCATTATTATTGCTATTCAAATGGTGAAACATTCGTATACGTAAACAATGTTTATTTGTTTTTTTAAATATTTCACTATATAGCATTTCAATGAAATTAATATTAAAAACAAATCAATAAATATAGTTGAATGAGCAGTACTTATGTATTTAGAATAATTATATATATGTTGATATTACATTATTAATAAAATTCTTATCACATATGCATTTACTCTAATGCTAAATGTAATAATTTTGTAAAGGTATATATATATTATATTTACCTATATTTAAATAAATTACTAAAATTAAATTTTCTATTATTGCACAGAAAATTTAAATATTTACTGCAGATATAGTTTTCAATGATATAAACAATTGAAATAACATATGTATATATATAAGAATTTTCCAGGGTTTTCGATTAAGGTACCTAGGGTTTAGGTTTCGTATTTAATATTTTTAAAGGAATCTTTTCATTTATTGTTGCTATTTTACTTTTTTTTTTTGTTTTTATTTTTAATTATGTGATATTTCTATATTTATATATTAGAATTGCACTATAATATTTGATAGAAACATATTTCATATTGTAATTTAAATTTACTAACGTCAAATATAATTTTTACATTGTTTATAAATAGTATTATAAGTTATATAATATTTAATATATAGAAACATTTTAATATAATTTAATTATATATATTTTTGTGTACATGTCTTTCTTTTTCATTTGAAAATATATTATTCAAAGAATTATTTTGCAATAGAAGAATATATTATTATAATTATGTTTATAACATGGTTTACATATATATATGGAACACATATGCTTAATTATTTGTTACATAAAACTTTATAATGCTATTTTTTTCATTAACCATTCTTTTTAATTCTATCATATAATATGAACTTTTAATGAAAGGATTTGTGAATATAAATTAAATAATATGTTATAGAAAATAGTGAATTTCCGTACACTTTTAATTGAGAAGCATTCCATACTGCAGCATCTTTTATATATTTTCAGATATATATCTATATTTTAATATTATTTGGATTTTATTACATTTAAAATTATATTTTTTCCATATGAACAATATGTTAAAATGTGAATAATATAAAATAAATTTGCAGGATTTGTTCTATTACATAAGCAAAAAGGAAGATTTATAATCACATTCTCTTTATTGTCATATAAACTATATTATTTTTTGTGAACATAAATTTTTTTATGTTAGAAAAATATCATAATACAAAAAGGTATATGTTAATTATACATCTGAAATACATATCATTAAATAAATTCTAATTTCCTAGTGCAATATGCATTTAATTTTTATAAAAAAAATTTTATTAAAGGGAAAAATTTGACTTTAATAAATTTTATAAAATATGTCAAATACTTTAGTTGATAAATCAATAAAAATTATATTTTTGTTATATTATTATTAAAAAAATTGATAATAATTTCCATTTTTTTATTTATAGTTTATGATATTATATATTAACATTTATTATAGAAACATTGCAATTTATATTACTCAATTAGTAATTCTTAATAGCTCTGTACATTATAAATGTAACATATGAGGAAATAATTTTTTCGTACATTATTATAATTATTATTTATATTAATTTTATGAAAATAATAAAAATCTAAAGGATTGTAACTTAATTACTATGGTGTTAACTTAAATATCCATGAATAATGAGAATACGAGTATAAGAAGACTTTATTTCGTTTTGATTAATAATGTAAATGCAATATATAATTAAAGAAAAGAAATAAAATGTTAATTTTTATTTTATTTATCGAATTAATACATATAAAAATTAATACATTAAACCAAAAATTATATGTGAAATATACACATTATGTGTATTATTTATGTAATTAAATTAACACTGTTTAAGCATAGATATATACATATTAAAGACAGGTCATTTAGATCTCTGTACATAAGAGAATATATTATATTGTGACAATAATGTATGTTTTTTATTTGTCAACTACATGAATTACAGTAAGTATTATTATGTAGGGGATTACGGTTTCCTATTTGAAAAATAATAACTGTAAAGAGTTAGAATTATTGTATAGTTGAAATCTATATAAAAGAAAATATAAAATAACTTTAAATGGAATAATTTAGGAATCCTGTTGAATGCATTGAATGATAATGTAGAATTATATATTGCCATCTGTAGTACCTGTAGAGGGCAAAAAATATATATTGCTAAATGTATACAAAATTCTTCTGGAGTCAAAATATATAAAAATTGATAAAAAAGAATGAATAATAAATTGTGTAATCCTATTTCTAAAATGCGTTTTTTGTAATTAATGTTGTAAAGGATAATTGATAAGAATGTAGTTATTTGTATATATAAATACATATCGTATAAAAATTTTTAGTAAGACATATCAATAAATCTATGTGAATTCCAAAGTATTATATTGTTTAACAAATATTTTTTTCACATGATAGACTGAATCTAATTTATCCATGTACACACTTACGACAGTAATAAGAAAAAGAAGAAGTAGCTATAAAATAAAACATTAATTTTCAAAGATAAAATTATGAAAATCACGTATAAAACAATCAGGGCACTTATATAGAGATTATATTATTTCTAAAAAGCATAATATAAAACATTCGTTTTAGAGAAAATTTTTATGTTTGTCTAATAATTTTAAAGAAATATGTAAAAACGTCGATGTAGACAGTTTTAGCATTTCCAGTGCTTCATATACTGATGAATTAAAGTGCATATTGGAAAACGGTAATGATATACAAAAGGATATAAAATATTTATACTTTATACATTGTAATATAACCCATAATTTGATTTAAAATGAATTAACATGAAAATACTCTACTTTATAAATATAAGCAAATACATAATTGTAATGACAAAATTATTCTAACAGTTAGTATTTAATATATATTAATATATTGAAAACCAATTATCAAATAATTTTTCAATTAGATGATGAAAAAAACATATGTTTTTGCATATTAACTACTAGGTAATATTTATTAAAATGTATAAAAATTCAATTGTTTTTCATTATAATTTAAAAAATGTTTACAAATAAAGACAATGATATTACGTTCTTTCAGATAAAACTGCTTATGGCATATATGTAATGAGTATAAAATGATGCTTCTTAAAGTAATACGTAGGAATAATTCAGCTCAAATATGATTTTTAAATAAATTATGAAGTGCAAATGATAAAAAACAGCATAAATAATACATTTAAGCCATTATCATCAGTATTTATACAAAACATTTTCACTTACAGTTCAATATATGTGTTATAATACCATTATTATTACTTTCATTATTTTATTTACTCGTCTCACATACATTTTTTAGAATAAATGAACTAATATTACATTTTAATGTTATTAGTTACTCGTGTAAAATATTAATTTTATATATATTATATATTTAACAAGATTTTTTTTTTTTCGCATAATGTTATAATACATATTTGTCTTGATATATACCTAATAACATAATTAAAGAAAGAAAGTATTTGGCGCACAACATAATTCATATAAACACAATAAATTTTAACCCATATATATCAGTGGAAAAAAAAAACAGTCTTTATAACAATATACATTATTTTTGGTAAAAAATATATATATATATAAAGAAATCATTTTTTTTTATAATTATATTGCGTCATAATTAACATAGTGAATTAGTATTCATGTTTTATATATATGCACTTATATATAATAAGGAAAAATGTTTTATATAAAAATATTGCAAAAACTATTTTAAAATATTCATCCTACATGATAATTAATATGAAGTGCCTCATTTTACTGACCTGAATAATAATAATATAATTTTATAAAATAGTATATTGTACTAATATTACAATAATATTCATTTAACTGAATATCATAATATTGAATAACAAAGAAACTTCATATTTATATAATGAATCTAAAAAACCCTTTATTTATATAAAAGACACTAAATATATAATAATTTAATCAAAATTAATTTTTCAAATACATCTATATTATTACATTAGTAAAAGAATTTAATTTATGTCAATAAAGCTTGCAATTTTTATTTTACTACAGAAAAGTATATATATATTTTTAACTTCTTTATTATGAATGATGTTTTTTTGGGGTGTTTCGTTTAACTGAAATGGGACTCAAATATATATAACTTAAGAATAATGTTATTATTGTTTAATATGTAATAAAAAATTTTATGATATCATAAGTAAGCCTTAATGAAAGACAATAAATACGAAAAAAATTACAAATAAATTATATTTATAATTATGAAACGAAGTTTTCCTGAGGTTTGAAGTTTGTTATGGTTTTATATATAAAGAAAATAACGTAGTTATAGAATATTTAAATAAAATTATTAATTGTTATAATTATAAAAGCTATAAAAATATACAAATATATAATCAACCTAATTACAATATAATTTTTACCTTGGACAGTATATCTATAATGTGCACTATAAGAAATATGAAAAAAATATATATTTTATAGTTTTGGTACAAACTATTAAGGTATGAAATTTAATAAAAATGATAATTTTTATTGAGGAGGGTCAGATGGAAAAAAAGGACACAAATGTAATATTATGAAATGGGTACTGTATAATTACAATATACGCTATTATCACAATATTATAGTTGAGAGTAAAAAGAAAATCCACATAAACGTTGTACTATCTAAGTTAATGGTCTTATAGAGTGAGATATTTCCATGAAAATTTTATTAAAAAAGGTAAAATATTATTGCATGGGGCATATAATCATAACATTGAAAATTTTTATATTTTACATGCATACAATGATGGTATAAATCATTCAGTATATTTTAATATTATTCATTAAATAACACCATGTGCCAATTTGAGTATTGTTATATTCAAGAATAGGAAAAAAAAATATTTTATGTAACTTTTATGAACCAATAAACTTAAGACTAATTAATGAATCATTTTTAGCGCCTACAAATTTATATTTGAAAATACGAAAGTAACATAGAATACAAATATTTAGTATATTATTAAATATAATATAATAATGAATTATATATTAAATAAAAGAATGATAATATTAAAAGAGAAAACAATATTTCATTTAAAATAAGAAATATTCTTAATAATTTCATCAAAAAATAAAATATACTTCTATATTTCAAGAAATATTTGTGAACAAATAGAATTTAACGAATATACCCAAAATATATAATAGCACCAAATAATAATAGAGATAAATTAAAATGAAATTTGTTAAATAATATTAAGAACATAACATATATATATTATACCTTTATAAATGGTCATATAAATTAAAATTTTGGATTACGTCAAATCAAGAGGATATTCAATTTTTCAATTAATATTCCCTTATATATAACTTCTTTAGACATATTGAGTATATATTATGTTTATTCACTTATATATTATAATATAAATTAAATTTGTAGCATATTATCTGTTTATATTACTGGATCCAATATAGTTGTATAGGGATATTGTTTAATAACACAAATATTATAAAATTAATATTTTTAATTATATTTTTAGTTTAATCCTATACTATTAATCATATAAATATGGATTATAAAACCAAGAAATTTTTATAGGATGTAATATTTCTTAATATATGAAAAGTAAAAAAATGATAAATATGGGAACAAAAAATATATTTTCCCCAATTCAACTTATACATAGAATCTCAATAATTAGAAGTCTAATTTTATGATAAATGAGTGAAATATATTTATAATTTTGAAAAGTGTATCTTTATGTAAAAATTATGTCATGCATAAAAATAGAATTATAATTTGCATTCTTATATATATATTACATTTTTCGCATGTTAGCATCGCTAAATATTAACCTATTACTTAATCCTTTTATAGGAAAACTTATTGTAATATATTTTAATATATTCAAAAATAAATAATAAAAAACTCCCGTAAATGCATATATATTTCCTTTATGTAATTATTTAAGAAAATACATTTTACATATATATATTCATTATACGTATATAATTGATTTTATACAATAACATTAATTCTGATACATCATAAATCTTATTATTCTAATAAATTTACTATTGTTTTATATAATATATAAAAAAGACATAATTCTCTAATGCATCTTTTTTATGAGAAAACGTACATTTAAATATTATTATATGAATGAAATTTTAAGATTTTATTATTTTTATAATAAATTATATGGCATATGCATAGTAAAATTGTAATATATAAATGATCTAATAGCATTTCTAATTAAAAGTAAAAATATAAAACTTGCTGTCGAAGATTTACAGATTTTAATATATTTCTTATTTGTTACTATTTTTAAATATTTATAATAAATAACCTATTATTTCTAGCATATTACTCACATAAGAATTAAATAAATTTTATATTTAATTAACATATTATACACTGAAAAATATTTAACACAAACACTATTCATATAAGGAACTTATTTTTTTTTTTTATAAATAATTAAAGCAATGTATGAGATAAGTATTATGAAATTAATATTCTGTGAATCATATTAGAATAAAGGAAATAATAATATCAATTAAAATACTATTGTTTTCTTGTACATAAATATAAATACCACGCTGATATTATATTTCTAAGTAAAAGATTTCTGTTCAGAATATCTAACAAGAATTATTTAAACTTGTTAAAATAATGAAAAAATAAAAAATATATAATAATATAAAGATTTAATTTTACATTAAATAATAACATCCCCAAATAAATATATACATATACTACTTCAAAATAATGAAAATTCGTAATTATTTGATTAATATTTTATTAATGCACTTACTACATAAAGCCAAAAATAATAACTCATTAAAAAAATTATAATATTTATGTACCTATAATATAAAATATATAAATCTTCTTTCTTATTAATTTTTTATATATATACAATATTATTGTAATATGAATATAATATAATATAAAATAAACAACGTGTACCACATTTATAAATAAATATATTTTTTACTCATTAAAATATTTAATTACAGTATTTCATATACTCATATTAATATATATATAATAATATATCACTGGAAAAGTGTATATAACTTATTTAAAAATAATTTATATAAATTACTGTATATTAATTTTTTCCTTTCTTAGAGTTTTTTATAAGTACGCAAATAAAATACTAATACACATGAAATGATTTATAAAATCAAATTATTTAAAAGAAAAATCAAAAACAGAAAAAAAAAATATACATCCAAACTTATGAATCTCTAAGGACTATAAATAATGTGTAAATTTTAAACAAATCTATACTATAGTTAAAAGTATATATATCAAACTTATAAACTAATTAAAGACATAAATAAATATTATATGATAAAATTATTGATTATATTATATATACATCTTAATTTATTGCATCATCTAACAATATCATTAAATTAGTTTTATATATATAATATTATTACAAATATATATTATATTATATGATTTTATAACATATATCTAAGCATATAATTTTTTTTATTTTATTATTTCTATAAATAAATGATAATTATACACACAATTAATGATACTATAACAGCTTAACATATATGATTAATTTAACAAAGTAGTGAATGTAATGTAGATATAAATTAAAAAATATTTGAGTTAACTCATATTATATAAATAAAATATATATTCTAATATTTTTAACAAATATATGTTTATTACAAAAAGAGTATAAATCAATATTTATTAATCCAGATATATAATATATAATATGATACAATAAAATGGAGAAAAATGAAGTGTGATTCATAATTTTATTAAAGCTATAATTTATAAATTTAATTTGAAAATAGATTATATGTAGAGTACAAAAAGAAAATTTTTTTATTAAAACAGTATTTTAAATATTTCTGTTTATTATGACTTTTATTTATAGTTTGATTTTACTGGAATATTTCCAAATTGTACAGACAATTTTTTATGGGGTATATACGAACATAGAAGTAGCAATAGCCAACAAGATTTTACTAAATTATGTAGTCGTTTTAAAAATAATGTAACAAATAGTGATTATAGCACTCATAATTTTGTTCAATATTGCCAAGTTCTTGGTTTATATTTAGAGCACATATTTAATAAAAAATCATCGTTAGAACCAAAATCATGTTGTAAATTATTCTATTATAAACTGAAAAAAGATATAATGGATAATTTTACATTAAATTGTACTGAAGCTAATAATTGTTATATGAAAATGATTGAACAAACAGGTGTTAACATTAGTAATGAGATATTGGGGGTATGTAAGGATTATTTTGTCCATGTTGATACAGACGCATTAAAAATAATGGAAAATCTTTTTGAAATATATAAGGACATAAATCTTTTTAATACTAATTCATCTCAGAGGACCACTACAAAAATGCATCCATTTAAGAGTTCCATAGAAAAATTAGAAAAACATCCTGATAAGTATAAAAGTCAACTTAAGACAGAATTCGAAAAAATTATTGAAATATGTAAAGGCTATAAAAAAAATTGGACTTATGCTCCTATATCTCATGCCGCATCTCTTTTATCAGATAAATGGATAGATGAAACAAGAAAGAAAATCAATGGGGAAGATACCGGAGAAACAAGAAGTAATGAGAGACACAGAGAAACGTTGCAAACCAATGTATTAGAAGCTGAAGCATTAATGGGCACTATGACAGAGGGTGAAACACACACAGGAATAAGTATTGGAACGATATTTATAACTTTTTCAATATTAATAATTATGTTTATTTTATATAAGGTTATAAATAGAATCAACATAACAAATTTATTTTATATTATAATTTATCATAGAAATATTATAAAAAAATATATATAATATAAAAGAACCATAAATAAAAATATTATTTTATTTTTTCTTTAGTATACCCCTTATTTTTCATTTTTAAAACCAAGGGAACGAAAATTAAGAAGGTTACATAAAAATAAGAAAAATAATATGGACTTTATACATACATTTGGTGTTGAATATAAAAATTCAGTAGATAATAGGTATAAAATATCATATAGTTAAATTAACAAAAACCAATAAATGCGTTATATTTTCTACTGAGTCTAATTTATTTTACTTTAATGCACACAATATAGCATTTGAATTGTTGTAGAAAATAAATTTAATTATATTAATATGAAATATTATGATAAAATCATAATGACTATTTATAATACCTAGCAAAATGCCATAATATGTTAAAATCTAATTTAATTATTACTTCTAAGGGAAGAATAACCACTTTACTACACAATTAGATAAAAAATTAAATACATATATACCATTTCCTAATTTACTTAAATTATGGTACATTATAATAATTGATTTGGAGATACATACTTTGTGTGTTCAAGTAACACTAATTCTCGTAGAACAAAGTATTTGCTCTCAACGGAAAATTATTCCATAATATTCAAATATAATTTATCTGATTATACATAATAAATTAGTTTTTTGAAATAATATTGAAAACATTATTACTGTTATACATTCTTTTTGGAAAAATCATATGTGTGTAACTATTGCATGTATTATATAGACATTTAATATTTTATTCCAATTAATACAATATAAACAATAAAAAGGATAAGAATATGAAGTTAACAATATAAATAACACATAAAACTTTTCCAAAACATATGTACTTGCTAACAATGTAAATATAAAAAATAGGGTATATTTGGTATATGTAAATAAGTAGAATTATTACAAATTAACATAGATATGCGTAGTTTTAATGGAGTCCAAAATAAAAAATAGAATTAATAATTGTAATATATTAAAGTTATAATAAAATTTTATTGATTATCAAAATTAGCTATATATATATTATATTATTCATAATCAATAAATCTTATTTTTTAATTAGGGTATATATCACCATGGGATTTTGGAAAAATAATTGAAGAAAATATATCATATTAATGTGAAGCATTAATTTAAATTTCTTCTAAAATTTTTACCTATATACATATATATATATTATTATATTTGAAATTCATTTTTTTATTATGTTATAATTTATTATTATATTATAGTAAATTTAGTGAAATTATTTAAGTTAAACTTAGTTATTATGTATAAAGATAATATATACTATAGTTTATTTTACTACATGCATATATATTGTTCTAGTAGTATTATGTAAACTATATATAAAACAACACATTTTATATAGATTATTACATGGCATCACTTATTTCTATTTAAATATCTATAGGATAAATGCGTATACTATACATTATATATACGCCAATGTTAAAAAATTATATTAAATAATATAATTATTATATAATATAGATATATATGTTTTCTAATATTTTCATCATTGATTAATTTAAAAATATAATTTAAATATCATATTAATTAACATGATTAATATTAACTTATCAAAAATCTCATACATATATTTTTTGACAAATTGCATGAATATGATTTTATTGCAAGTTTTGAAATAATAAATATATAATGTTCAAAATTTTGATAATTAATTGATGATTGAAATAATCCTAGTTTCATTTTTAATATTATTTTATTTCTATCTTTAAAATAATGTATAATAATAAGAAGAATCCTTATTCGTTAACATGGTGGCAACTATAATATATTATGATTTATTCAAAACAAAATTACGAAAATAATGATTTTACACTTATTTATGTGTTTTATTTTTTCGCCTAAACATTATATATTTTATTTCCTTATTTTTACGTGTTTAATTTGTTTATTTATTTAATGTAATACTTCATCCTTTACATTAGCTATATATAATAAAAAATTAGAGAATTTTACAAATTGTAGATTATTAAAACAATTTCCGTATTAATTCTGAGTTCATTTTCTTTCATATATGTATTCATAATGTATTATATCTGTATATTTTTTTTCATATATTGTTCATTTAATACATGTATTATATTTATATCATATTATATTGTAATATTTCATATTTTTTATTTTATTTATTCATCCTATATTGTAATAACTCTAAGAAATACATATAATGCCACTATTGTTATATATAAATTATTTCTTAAGTATAATTATTTTATTTTCATACAAAATGTCTGTTAATCACATTTAATTATGAAACAACATTAATTAATTTATTATTATTGTTATATTATTATTTTACTAAGATATACATTATTCTGTGCACTTTTTTATTTATTGTATCTATATTCTAAGGCATCCTTTAAATTGATACTGTCTTTTGTCTTCTCCTTAGCATTTTCCTTAAATTACTTAGCATTGATTGCAATAATTAACAAAATACTCTATACTAAAAATAACATGAAATATGATATACATATGCAAATGTAATTTATTACACATACATAATTCATAGTTATATGTAACATTAGTTTTATAAAAATTATATCTAATGAATTAAATTTAAAGGTAATTTTATTTAAAATGAATGCAATTGTTAATACTGTAAAAGGTAAAAAAATAAAAACTGTACACTTACACGTGACTAAAATTGATACTATCCTTTGAATATCTCTATATCTAAAGGTGTCCTCCTCTCTCTGCTTATATAACCACCTATTTCTCTATGTGGGAATATTAAGAATACTCCTTATTCAAGTTATATTTATTGTTCCTCTTATGTTCTAACATTTCTGCATCATTTTAATATTTCTATAATTTAATGTCAAAAGAATTGAAAAAAACACTAAAATTAAGTTTTGTAATAAGTAAATATTAATAGGAAATTTGTGAAAATATTGTGAAATATAAAAATAGTATTACAATTGTGTATCTTTTCTTATTTAAATAATAATTTTTTATATTTTCTGTTGAAAAAAATTATAAGACAGTAAACAATCTTTGAAATATTTTTATTCATAACAACTTAATAAATATTCATACAATGCGTTATATATTACAATCATATTCTTAACTATTATTATCATTTTAAAATTTTCTATCACTATATAACAATGGATTATTGTTCATTAGTCTATTTACATATTACTGTTTTTACACATTCAAGCAATGTACTTATTTAGAGTTAATTAGACTTTTTCAGAATTTATTATATATATATATCAATTATTTATAAAATTTTCAACACATAAAAATCTCATGAGTATCCATATATATTGTTTGAATATTATTTATGAAATGAATTATTTTTATATCCATTCTCATAATAATTATTTTATTTTTATTTTGAATAAGAAGATACAAAACATACATTAACTGACTTATTCTTTTTATTTTTAAATTAGACATTTTTGGAAAAATTAATTACAGATAATAATAAAGGATTTTCCATTAATTATTTAAAAACACATACCTATATGTTCTTTGAACTGTTCATAAAAAAATAAAAATATTATTGTCTATAATTCTTATTGCTAATTTATGTTTCATATATTATATACTTTTATTATATCAAGAGAGCCATAAAAATACGATAAGTAATCATATAAAAGTTCTCAATATACAGTAGTACTATATTGAACATATTAATTGAAATATTTCTAATTTTAACATTTTACTGTAAATCCCATTGTTCATTTTATATTATGA